GTGGTTTCGGAATTGGGTTTGGGTCCCGCAAAAATTTGTTTATTCTTTTTTGGGCATTTTTGTTGGGGGGGGGGGGGGGGGGGCGTAATCTTGCCTTAGCGGTTAGACCATTGACCACGCGTCCTCGTTGTTCCCACTGGACCGTTCATCGATGGCCAATAGTTCCTTCCTACTTTGCCAAAGGTGGCTCAAAATGTCTTCCATAGTATATCTATCCTATCGATACCACTTCCCGCCTTTCCAACCCACTTCCTATGCGCCATTACGGCTACCGTCTTTTCCTCGCTATTCCATGCTTAATCGCTATTCCATGCTTCAAAGCATCCCCCTGTATGCATGCATTCCTTCTATTTTTCCCAGTTCAGTCATGTACACTTCCCTCTCCAGAACCCGGTCTTCGCACTTTGCGTCGCAGGCACATTTGAACTTGTCGGTCCTGAATTTGACCCTCAGCTTGTCCCTGCATCCATTGGTCCATGTACCTCGGTACTCCTTAAACCCTGTTCCTTCTTCCAACATTCCGTACACTTCCAGACCCTCCTTATCCTTGGTTTCTTGCCTTAGATTACTCTAGACCCTCCGTTTTCAGCGTTTCACCTTCGTCAATTTCGAATCCCTTCCATACGCCCCCAAGGGGGGTGGGGGGGTGTACTCATAGTCGTGCATGCCGTAGTCGTTAGACCATTGACCTCGCATCCCTACAAAGCCGGGACGGAGCACGCCGGGTTCTCACCGGACCAGGCTCTCACATCACCAAGCGCCAAGCGCCGTGAGGTATTCGGCGAGTCGCATGAAGGGTGAGCTGCATCCTGCTAAGGGTGTTCGGCATCTTGTGCTTACTTCCTTGCGTACGGATGACAGCTGTGTATGACTTAATTTACTTTCTGGTGCTTTCACTTCCAGAGACAGTTATAAGCAATGTGTAACTGCCTCGAGGATGCTTGACCATTTTAACACAACGTGGTGCGATCATCCCCCGTTGCGCGGAGTGAGGTTTCTCCACCCCGCACAACATGATCTACTCGACCACCATTATGGTTACCGCCAAAAAAAAAAACCCCGGTAACCTGGTTGCCGAGTTCACGAAGTGAATTGGTTTGTTTTACAACGTCGTTGCCAAGCGACGAAAACCCAATCCCGATGGCAAACACCGGGGGGGGCGGCTTGTTTTACAACGTCGTTGCCAAGCGACGAAAACCCAAACCCCGATGGCAAATAAGGCCAAGGGGGGGGGGGGGGCGAAAATAGAGAAAAGATCAAAAACACTCATCCACACCATCACAGGGGGAGAGAGTAATACCATTGACGATCATCCACACCACCACGACACGTGCAAGCCGTGATAAGCAGTGGGTCTGGAGGCTCCGCGGCCTTAGGGGTGGTTGTTCTGCCTGGACGGGAGACATGGCCTAAACGCACCGCAGGCAGGTGGTCGACATTTTTAATTTTCCCGGCGTGTTTCTCAACGCACGCGTGAACCTACTTGTAGCAACACACGTTTCAAATGCAGAGAGGAGCCAGACTACTGTCCAGCGGCTGTCAGAGACTTAGTCGGTCTACACTCGTGAGGACGCAAAGCCTTCTCCTGCGGTACACAACCGGATATATAGGGCGCACGATTCAGCCGGCCGACTTACCGCTGACGACTTGGCCCGCGTCTGCCATCGTCGACGTCGTTGTCGTTCATGTTGTGGAGAGCGGCGACAAGAGGGTGGCATGAAGACACAAACAAAAGGGAATCCCGGAGAGAGCCAGCCAGCCGTCCGTACAGCAGCCAGCGGTGGCATCCGTATGTACGATCCACCCATCCATCCAGTCCGGGTTTGGATGTGCCCGCGCGGACGAGCGGTGGCACAACAAGCAGTAGCGAGGCGAAAAAAACGGGCGGCACGCATGAGTTTTTTTCACATTTCTGCGTTGGGGGTTGTGCAGGGTGCAGGACTCCCATGGCGGGGTCAGGGCGCAAATGTAGGAGGAAAAAAACAAAAAACAGCAGTGATCTAGAGCTTGTTGCAACCCCACAGGGGAGATGTCCCTGTATGCCGCTCGGGGAATCATACAGAACACTACATAACACATGTACTTTGTAGCGTGTCTGCTAACGCCATGAGCTCATTGCAATTCATCCCGGGCTCCTACATACCTGCTGTGGATCGAGAGATGAATCATTCATCGTGTTCGTGTTTTTTGCGAGAAAAAAAAAACACAGAGCAATCACATATTTCGTTTCGCTTGCTTTTTCTGCTGGCACAGCAAAACCCTAATGCGTAACCCAGCCCACTGTTGTTTCGCGAAAAAAAACAAAAACGAGGCGTGGGAGCGGGGAAAGATCCGGCCTGTGGCTTGACCAATTGCAGCCACGCGTTCACCTTCTCACCCGCGGGAGACTACTGTATTGCAAGTCGGGAGATTGTCCGAGATGCAAATTGTGTGACGTGAGATACCACCCCCTTGCTCTTCCCCTCTCGATTTTCGCCAAGGTGATGTTGGGGGGCGGATTTCGTGCTTTTCGACTCTCCTTCAGCTTGTTACAGCAGCCGTAGTGCAATTCACCGTCAACTTCGTTTGCATGCACTGCACGGTACACCTCTTGCTGCCTACTCCAACCGGTGTGGGGAAACGAACGGTCCAAAGTTGTAACCTAAGGTATCACAACGACCTCAATCAAGCGTACGCCCAAAGATGGCTCTGGCACCCTCTTGTGTTGTAAAAACCCCAGTGGTTGTGATGGTCCTGGGTTTAAAACACTGAGAAGTAGGTTGCTGCTGGACCAGCGAGCAGTTGACGTGGGGACTTGGTGCAAGAGGAGAAAAATCTAGGGACGGCAGCGAGCGCACAGCGCCAGCATAAATATTGCAATATTGCTTCATAAATTTACTTTTTATTTTGCTGCTGCATGATAGCATCTCCATCACCACCGTATCCTGTCCCTACGCCAGTGTACCGAAGCTCTGCGTGCGCAGCTACTGCTGCTGGGGTGACATTCATACGGCTTTGAAAATGTTGCAACGCGGAATGACACAGACACACCGGGTCGATCATGCAATTGCAGGTTTTTCTCTCCGCCGTGCACAAGCAGGTGTGTTCCATGACAAATCTCAAGGGTTGCACCCCTGCCACGTGTACCAGAGGTAGGAACAGACGTCGTGGGTGAAGGGGACCGAGACGCCGCCAAACACCAGACGCACGTGTTGGTGAAGCACTGGTGCTCGGTCGGTACAGCAGTATACGTCGGGAGCACATCAGCAGAGGGGCGGTGTGTTGGCAAAGCAACCGAAATGTCGATGTTGCCACAACCGCTCAAAACCCCGCATGCATCCCCGTCCTACATCAATTGAAGTTTCGATCGCGATGACGCCAGCAAGCCCGCCACCTTCTCAGCTACTCTACGTCCACATTCTGTACACTTCTTGGCGCTGTCGTACTCCCCTAACGTTGTGCTGCGTGCACCGTTCTGCGTGTAAAAGCAAGGGGCTGCTGATGCTGACAAACAACGATGACCAACCTGGTGGGAGGCGCTGTTGACCTTCGACCACCGCACGCCACACAGGGCCGCGGGGCCAACCGGTCGCACGAAAGCGCGCGCTGCCGGGGAGAGCATCAGGAGCATCGTTGCGGTGGGAGCGCCGGCAATCATTGTCTCTCTGTTCACCTGCTGTACGGCTGTGGTTTGCTCGTGTGAGTCTCTGTCACAGGTGAGCATGCTCTCCTCCCAGCACCGGTGGTCTGCCTGTGGGGGGCACGACGATTGGCACAAAAATATAGGGCAGGCTGGTGGCACCGTAGATTTTGCCTGCCCAAAGCTGAAAGATCGGCCCGCTCGCTGGTGGCACCGTAGATTCTGCCTGCCCAAAGCTGAAAGATCGGCCCGCTTGCGCTGGCAGCGCCCGGTATCCATATCATTGCGCACACACGTGGGATCCTACTGCACACACTGCGTGTGAGTTCGCCTTCCTCCCTCTCTATTTCTTCCCTCTCGCTGAAGCTATATCCTAGTCAAGTCGCGCCTTGTGGTCAGTGAAAAGGCATCTCTTGAGCCCACGCGCGACTTCCCAGTGTGTGGGCATATCTTGTCCGGAGTCGAAGAACCCCCCCCATAGAGAGAACGTACAACCTCGTAAGCTGATGACCCTTGGATATTCAGCTCTCAACTCGTCACTTGCTTCCTGAAGGAGGTAAACGATGGGCCAGAGGCACGGAAAGGCCGTGTATGACAGCGCTGCAAAGCCCTTCCTCAACCTCAGCCTTGCGGCCGTTGGCACGCTATGGGAGACATTCAACGACGTCGCGGATGGCTTCGGCATCAATCTGCATGAGTTTCTAGAGATATGCTCCGAGCTGGGAGAAGAGCTGCAGCTCAACAGGGCCAAGCTGGATAAGGTGAAGATTCTTGCATATACCGCGCTTTGGTTTTCTAGAGTGCATATCGTGTACACACTGTGGAAGACGGCCTGGACTCGACGGCACAGTGTTGTGCGGTACGGGTGCGGGTGTCTGTTGGACTGCGGCTCATCCTCTCGTAAAGCTACAACAGCAGCAACACCTGGGTTTTTGTCGTACCCGGTAGGTTCGCATGCTGGGGCCAGAGAGTGAGGGTGCGGTAGGCCATGCAGTTTCCTGGTGTGGCCTACAAATGGTGCCGTGAACTGTAGTGTTTCCGTGCTTCCACGTCGTCGGTAGGACTTATGCAGCTGTAGGAAGATTATTCGTTTGACACGTTAGGTCGCAAATTGGTACACGTCATTGCTCAGTCTAATGCCAAACACGATTTTGTTGCAAACATTTCCACATGTGCGTGTTGGCGCTTTGACAACGCAACGGCAGCTTTCAACGGCTCTCTTCAAGCTCCTGGACACCGACAATAACGGCTTGATAGACGCCATCGAGTTCGTCAGCGCCATGGCGTGCGCTTCGGGTAAGACGAAGGAACAAAGCAATTAGTAAAAGTGTTGTACGTCCCACTGCTGTGATTGGCATGTCAGGCCGAGAGTTGCATTGCTGAATGTGGTTGCCCACGCTAGGGATCGGCCTGGGCAACGGCAGCGTTTTACACTTAGTACATGTAGTCTACATACGCCGTTGGCGATTTCTTGCAGGCTCCTATTAAGTCGAAGTAATCTCTTCGTTCCGATATTTTGCTTGTTCTTTCAAGAGAAAAAGTAGACCGCGAGTAGGATTACCAAGGTACCGTCACACGGAAAATAAATTATGGTATTGCAGTCCTTAGCTCATCTGCTGCCAGTTGGACGGCAGACCCACGACGCCCGTTCATGGCTCTTGCATTGATACAACCCGACCCCGTCATTGCCTAGTAGCTGTAAATGCGTACAGAGTTAACCAAAGTGTGGCTATACCTGTTTCCATTGTATCTCGCACGCCCTCGCACATGGTTCAGGGATGAGCGTGACCGACACTCTGGAGTTTGTCCTGAACTGCTATGACTTCGACGGCACCGGTCGCCTCACGATAGATGAGATATCCCTGGCCTTCAAGAGCACCGTTACCGGTATGTGCAAGCTAGAGGGGACCGGCGCGGGCGCTGACGCGGGCCTCAAGGCCTGTCCTCGCGACGTCGATTTCGAAGCCGCCGCCATGAACGCCTTCGAGCGCCGGGCTGAGGGGTCTGACCGGTTCAAGGTCAAGGTTCGTGCGGAAACCGGAGCTTGCTAGGGTTGTGCCCGTGGTGTATTCGGCAGCTCTTCCAGAAACACTTGGGCGCGTTTTACGGATTTGCTTTTTACACAAATCAAGTTTCATCACGTACATACACTTGCGAGTAGGCACTGTAGATATCCTCTTCCCCTCAGGCCGAGGGCATTTCCTTTCTGTTCACATGCGGTACTTCGAAAAAGTTTTTTTGGCATGCCTCGAACAAGATGATGGACTGGTGGCTACTGATTGTTTTCGGCGTGCAAATTCACGGTCGTGTGTCCGACCAAGCAGATGCGGGAGGTGATCGACTTTTGCCAGGAACAGCCCGAAATCAGGTCATGGCTCGACTACTTCGACGACCCGGCTGAGGAGGAAGCCCTGGCAGCAGCGGGGTCGGAGGGGAAGGAGGGAGGAGAGGAAGGCGGGGAGGACAACGACATCCGGCGGTAGGTTTCGGCAGTGTGCATGCACAAACATATCCCCTTCCTTGGGTGATCCATTCGCCCCAGGTGTTGGCCGTCGGTCTCGGTTTCTATCTTCCGCATTGTGGTGGCCTCCTTAGTCAGGGTCCCTCTGAACCCATCCATTTGCGGGACATGCTTTGCCCTCCGTTTCCGCCATTATCATTGACTACTTCGAGTTCTCCTTGCACCCCGGTTTACCAATAGCGTATGCAAAAGGATAGAAAGCGAATCTATACTTGTGCCTCGCCCGAAGTTGTTCGAAGCCGATGTGTGGTTTGCGTACCCGCGTTGACCCCGGGCCTTTGAATGAACCTTTTCAGCGAGGGATGGTTCCCAGTGCGCACGACGAACGAGACCGCCGTGGCAGAGGACAACGCCTTTTCGTCGGCAAGGGCTCCTCAAGAGACGACAACAACAACAACCACAGCCGGCGGCACTGCCAAAGGCAAGAAATCGGCAACGGCGACACCTCCCTGGATGGAGACGGTGAAAAGCCTTGTGCCTGCGTCTTTCAGTGGGCAGGTATGAGCTATATTGTGGTCTTATGTAGAGAGAAAGGTTTCCTGTACACGGCAGGCTGAGTACGCACCTGACCCCCTCCAACCTGAAGACCAACGTCAGTGTTCTTTGCTTCAGTGAGGTTTTGCACAGTGCCATAGACTTGTGGCTGGTCATGATACCGTGCCACACCAGTTGATGTTACGCCCCTGGTGCCAGCGTTCTTGGAGCGCCGTATGGCCATTTACACACCATACGTGGGGAAAGAAAACACCGCCTCCGTCTCAACTGACTAACAGAAGGGGTGTGTGGTCGAATAATTGGTTGTCTGCGTGTGGTATGGTTCGATAGACTTTCAAATGCCCAACATTGTTCGGACAGCGACAGATGGAAATTTGTTCACCGAGGGAGTTCCATTCGTGAGGTTGGGAGTTGGAGAGGGAGAAGGCCATTTGACAACGCTCCGTTTCGCCATGAAGCCATGGTACGTGCGATACCCAACTGCCTCAAACGTTCAGTTCATTGCGTTCGGGCATGAATGTTTACAACCAGACGATTGACAAGACCCCGCCCGACATAGGCGCGAGCCTCGAGTGGATCCACGGCTACAACGGCTCTACTTGCCGCAACAACGTGCGCTACAGCGCCGGGGGCGAGGTGGGTATTCACTGCCATGTTCCCAACAACAGGTTTGCCTGGGGGGTGCATAGTGGCTGCGATGATTAGGATGATTCCTGAAAACACGAAACAAGTACTAAATCCATTAAAGACAGCGTGAGTATGACGCCGTTCGCTATTTTTCTTGGGGTGTTTTGAGTGCGTGTGTGTTGTGCAGGATTTTCTTTCAGCCACCCGAAATGCGTGTTTGACTCCTATGTGACGACTACCCCATATCAAACGACGCGCGACATTTCCGCGCAGCGAAGACTTGTGCCAGCTTCAACCGAACAGCTTATCAGCTGCCTGTTGTTGTGTATACAGGTTGCTCTTTTCAGCCAAGCGTCGTTCTAAGAGACTGGTGCCTCGAGTGCTTGACATTGCTTCTCCCATGGTCCAGCCGACCTTGTGATGAGAACATGGGTCGCTCGTTTCCCCTTTGGTTGGTTTCTCTTCTTCTTGGTCGCTCTCATCCTTTTCTCTGCGGTAAAGGTCATATACCACGCGTGTCGGGCATGCGTCAGCTACAACGCCACCGACCACCGGCAGAGGTTTAACCTTGACCACACGGATGACATCTGCAGCTTTGCCATGCACCCGTCGGGTCGGCTGGCCGCCACGGGGGAGGTGAGGAATGCCCAAGTTCCTGGGTCTTGTCGTGCATCGAGAGGGAGCCTTGCGTGCCTAAGTTTGAATGTATTCCGTCTAGGTTACTCAGAACTTTCCCTTGATGCAAGTAGGGCACAGTCTTCCCTCGGAAATGGCATTCCAACTGCACTGTACTGCACTGCACTGATTGCACTATGTCCAACTTTGTTTTTTCGCCCGTCCCACCAGCTAGCCCATACTGTTCTAGCATTCCTTCCTCTTGCATCTGTACTAGTTTACAGGAACGTTAAACCGGTATCACCCAATATTTGTAGAGCATCATAGTTTCGACCTGTCTCTTCGGCTGTAACTGCGCCCCGCAATGACCTTGGGTGGAACATTCTTGTCGAATACGACGGCGACATTCGCCACACCAACGCCGAGCGAAAGTTGAGGGGGGAACGGAGTTGTTGCGACTCACGCTGCGATGATGGTCACATTTGAGGTGTGTGTTTGGAGGTACGATCGGACGCCCGTTGGCCGATATCGTTCTTATTTGCTGGTCTTCAGGTGGGCACTGAGCCAAAGATCATCATCTGGGACACGGCTACGATGCAGACGGTCAAGGTCATCAAAGGCTTCCACCGACGGGCGGTGACTTTGCTGGTGCGGGCGCCATATTGTTGACATTTCAGGCCCAATGTGTCTGATTTGGTCAGGATACAACACGGAGAGCAACGAGCATGTGTTCATCATTATGATCAATGTTATTCGGGAGATGCATTACACCCTCGAAAATCTTTCCTGCATCGCGATGGCAAACAAGAGTAACACTTTTTGTGCCAACCATGGTGTCTGATCGACGCGTCGGTCTACCAATTTTGACGGATACGGTCATACCCGCACAGGGCAACCTTCAATGCTCGATTTCCACGACCAGTAGGGTGCCAAGGCCAAACGTTGGGTATTAGAAAGGTTCTCAATGCTATGTTTCCAACCCCGCTCTGTTCGGCGCTGGCACTTCTTTCCTGCGTAGCCTTCAAGCTTTACACCTTGACCCAAGGGGAACAATATTCGGCCCTGATAAGCGCCCTCAACACGGCATCTGTTTGTTTCTCATCTGGCTCTTCCGTAGAGTCTTCATGGCGCACTCCAAGACACGCCTTTTGAGTCATACCGCCTCTGCCAGCTCGGATTATTATTTTCCCGTTTACCTCCATTTACCTCCTCCGTTATTTCGCATGGTACCAACACACGTTAAGGCGTTTAGCGAGAACGGAGCTCTGCTTGCGAGTGTGGGACAGGACGACAACCATTGCCTTGCCGTGCACGACTGGGAAAAGGGCAAGCTGCAACACACCGGTCCCACCGATATGCGCGCGGTGAGAGAGCGGTACGAGTGCAGCCATGAGAAGTATGACTATCGTTCTTTTACGATATGGTATAGTGAAGCAGACCAAGCCCGCACCCCAACAGGACAGGGGCGGCAACACCGACAACGATGACGACACATCATCACTATCGTCGCAAATGACACGATTGCCGACAGCAACAACCGCCGTACGGCAAAACGTTGCAAGAGGAGAGGGGCACTATGGCGATGACATCATATGAGTTGCCTGACTATCACACGTACTAACACGACCAACTTGCCCCACGAAGTTTCATATGCCCAACTGCATATCAAATCGAATGATTGAAACTCCAGGTTTTAGGGTGCTGCTTCGAAGCCGATGGGGGCGTCGTCACGTGCGGGGACAAGCACGCGCTCTTCTGGAAGAAGGAACGACAGTGCTTCGTCAAGAAGAAGGGCGTGTTCGGGCGTAAAGCCACCGCGCAGATGCTCATCTGTTGTTCCCGCCTCCAGGGAAAGGTTTGTAAACATGTCCTCCACACATATCTGACCACGTTGATGCCTATTGTAGCATGGGTCGCAAATGAAAAAAATCAAATGTCCACGCCTATTGCGGGAGAGGGTCTGCCGACAGTATCAGTAAAAGCCTCGTGATACAACTATCGCCATTTACGGCACCCGTTGAGCACATACCTCATCCTCTTGTACAACTTCCTTTCTTCCCCATGTCGGCAACCAAAAACGTTGATTAGGTCATAACCGGGGCGGCGTCAGGGCACTTGTACGTCTGGTCCGGCCGGAACTGCGTGCGCTCGGTGCGCGGCCACTACGGCTCGGTGACCGCCATGTTTTCGGGTCCCTATGGTCTCATCTCGGGGGGAAAGGTGCGCGCCCAGAAAGGGGCTTTGGTTTGATGGTGGTACAATACTGTGGTTTGCTGTTTCAGGACGGTACCATGTGCATACGGCTAGTGGAGCTAGGTAATTGACCCGGAGAGACGTGGCCGGTGACTGCAGATGCGTAGGGCGAGTGTCGTCCAAAATGACAAACAGTTCCAGCCGGGCTTTTTGAAGTGACGAGTGAACCTGCAGGCACAAAAAACAAAAATGAACACGAACTGGAGTATGATTCAACTTGACAAGATGGTTTTCGTTTTCAACAATCAACCCTCTGAGTACCTCTGACCGTGTTACATTTTTATCCATCATCCGCCAACACGTAACAAATGATCTCCTTCATCGCTACAGCTCTTGCTGCTGCTGGCGCTGGCGCTTCTGCCTTTTGCGTGTGAAAATCATTTCAAATCCACACCCAATATGATAATGGACGATGCTACACATGACGGTAGGACATGCGCGTCAGGCTTTGGAGCCCCAAGATGGAACCTGGGGCAACCTTCGACATGAGTGCCTTCGGACCCTGCCCCATTGTGCACAGCCTGTGCCTCTCCAACGACGGGACCAAGCTTCTCGTGGGGGTCAAGGGATGCGAGGTACGCACGAGGTTTCACGTCCACTGTTCACAACCTAATTTTTAGGCACGAGAAGAACATTATAGTGACTAGCGAAGGCTAGAGAGGTGAGAGGTAGGGCCAGCATGCACCAAGAAAATGCTCGTGCATGGCAACGTTCGATGGGGGGGCTTTACGGTTGTGAAAGGGGTGCGCCACAGCCAGTATGGGCAGGACACAGGCCGATCGTACACCGGCGAATATTGAATCGGTGGACTGTTGGGTTCACTCTAGTGGTAGGACCAAAGCCCGGGCAGCAAGGGGTTTGGAGGGAAAATTTCCGCACCAAAGATCTTACTTCCGCCAGGTTTGCTTCCACGTTCAGTCCTTGAGAAATCGGTTTCTGACTGTGTAGCGCGACGTGCACCAGATTTAAGCCTGTCCCTTTTATCGCGAAGGTCTGAAACGGACACAACGGCAGCCTGAACGTTTTCTAAACGATATTTACATTGGCAGGTCCAGCGTCTCATTTTCTTCGACTCTTGAGCGTTGTCGTTCTTACCATTCTGTTGCTGATGTTTATCTGTGCTATCAGAGTGTATCAGCCGGTGGGATCGCATTCAGAACAGTCCGTCGCAAAAACCGCAGCAGTCATTCTGCCGCTCACGTAGAAGCTCCTCCCATTTTGTCAGATCTACGAAGTTAGCGCTGCGGACGGTTCAGACGTAGCCGGCGGACCCGTGACCACCTCGCACTTCGACGGGCAGCTTACGGGGCTGGCAAGGCATCCACAGAGGGCTGAATACGCCACCGCTGGGTCTGACGGCACGGTAAGGGCTTTTTCAGCCCACATTTCGTCATCGGGTCCAGAAAGGGATCGACGATCAATTTGAACTTGCTGCACTGCTGTGGTCAGATATAATATGGTAGTGGACTTGCCGCTCAGCAAAACAATCATCATCGGGCTCCCCTGTACGGTGTGTGCAGTGGCAAGGGTGTCATCGTGATGTTCCTCCCCGCCCTACCGGATGAAGAGGCTCCCCGACAGCATCAAACAAGCTGCTTTGATGCTTCGTTGGTGTGGGAATGCAGCAGTTCGTCTGATCCCTTTGGTTAGGCTTGGTCCGCGCTGAGCGGTAACCAACAATAGGCCTAACGGATGACGCACGGTCCATGGATACGCCCGAACCTGTCAAGGGAACAACCCCCCGCTTGTTGCAAAGCGTTGGTGAATGTAAACTAATCACCTAAAAGAGAACAACACACAACGATATCGAGATCACGAAGACTATTCACTCTGGCGCTTATCGCTGTTGCGACAACCAACGACAACCACAATTCAAGAGCAGGTGCGAATCTGGGACGCTTTGACGCGGTCTCTCCTCCGCATGACGCGCCTTGACTCCGCGGCTTCATGCGTGGACTACTCCCCCGACGGCGAGCTTCTCATCGTTGGCTTCGGCGCCCGCAACCGCTCTACCACGACGCCATCGAGGCAAGAACCTGTAAACTACGCACCTGTAACACTCGAATGATTTTCAAGAGAAAGCGCGGCATATTTTCGCTAGCGGGGAGCAGGGGGGGGCGTTTGGCAGCAGGGGCTTACAGTGCAAGTGCGCCAATGTGTGCATCCGGAGGGTAAACTTGACATTTTGTACTCGAACCCCTCCCTCAAACAATGGTTTGACGCTCTCGACAATCGCAGCGGCAGCAGCACAACCGAGTCTTCAACAGCAAAAAGCGGCAGCAGCGGGAGCAAAGGTCGGAGAGGCATTGGCGGTGGTTCGGGCAAGAACAACACCAGCAGTAGCAAAGGCCTAGGAAGCGAGGCCGGGAGCAGCGATTCTGGCGGCGGCAATGCCAAGACTGGAGGATTCATCGTCCTGAATGAGGCTGATTTCATTACGGTGTTCGAGGCTAGGGATGCAAAGCAGGTATGTGGTACACTGCTTTCATTTCCTTCTTGACGGAGGGCAGACCTTGCGGCATCATCTTTGTGTCGCGACCAAATATGCAGCAAACATTGTTGTTTATCAATGTGGGTGTTAGTTTGGTGTCATGGTTGACAAGTATGAGGGGCGAAAAAGGCTAAGCCTGGCACTTGTTCGCGCCACAGTCCCGCCATCCCCACGAAAATTTCCACATTTTCGTTTTTGAAGTTTCATTGGCCTCCCTACCAACACCCACCACAGTACGTCCTACCCAAATTATTTACAACAACCCTCAACACTACCGGTATTACCTTGCCCTTACCGGTTTCAGCCAAGTACACTTGGCTTACCTGGAAACCGCGAAATCAATCACGCCCCAACGTTGATTGGTCTAAGCGCCGGAGTCAGTCCTCACTAATACCGTAACTCACGGTCTAATTTTCTGCCCAATCTCTTTTCTGTAGTCGATCTGTCGCTCCCAAGAACTTCAACTACGACATCAATTTTCCCACACCTGCCCCCCAACAAACACGAACCAACCAGGGTATTATTGAGGTTCGTTGGTCTCCTGATCGAGACACGGTCGTGCTGGGCGGAGAGGATTCCAACCTGTACCTCTACGCGACAGGCGAAAACTACGACCTCATCGCCACAGCGGCGAAGCACAAACACCCGGTAAGAAGGGAGCACAAAAGGGGTAGCGGGGTAGAGGGGTGAGAAAGACCGAGGAAAAGGGGATGGTAGAGAGATATGGTGGTGTGAAGCGTGGGAAGAATGTTGAACTTCTGCTCTTGGCGGCTAGTAGATAACTTTTTTCAATACTAGAGACACTCCCAAGGCAACACTGCTGTAGACGGGGTTCGACTCTGTCACGGTGCGGAGATAGGCAACCCTTCTTTCAATCACAGTCTGCCAAGTCAAGGGGGACCATCAAGCGCACGCACACAATTAATCGTGTTTGCGACAAGCCATCACGCGATCTATGGGTGGGTGTGACCCCTCCAAGGAACCCACACTGGTTTGGTTTCATCAGGTGACATCAGTGGACTTCAGCAAGGACGGTGACTGGATTCGCTCGACCTGTAAGGGCGGACAGTTGCACATCTGGGACACCAACAAGGGAAATCATCAGGTAATGGCGACGTGCTGCCGCACACTGGTGTCGAATGTTAACAGCTTGGCCCTATCATCGATTTGCTGCTACCTGGGGCGATATAACAACACGTGTCGGTGCGATCGTTCGGTCCGCATCAATGGTTTAGCCGAAAGGGCAGCCGTTTCTTGTTTGCCGCGCTGTGATGGCTGTGCTCTATAGTTTTAATGTGTGCGTCATTCATTCCCCTTCGTCTAAGCCCTTGGGGCAGCCGCGTTCTCGAGACTGGCCCCGTACTACATGATTCGCCAGAAAATGAATTAACGGACAGCGCCAGGACGAACTTGATTGAAGAAATCGACCATCCCGACGCCAACAAAATAGCTGACACATTGTGGAAGGTTTCACACAACGTCCACCTGCCCGCCCATTTGCTAACACCTATTTTCCGATGCACCAACTTTTGTTCCCGCTCGAACACTTGTCAATGTTACTCCACGTACGGTGTCTACGGTCCTTCCATGGATCCGCAGAGCAACATCACAAAGTACAAGGACGTGGAATGGAGCACGGAGACCTGCGCCTTCACTTGGGCGACCAGGGTAAGGGTGGGACGAAGGGCTTGGGCTAGGGTAAAGGTAGTTTTTTTAATGGAGCACAAACGAACAGGTCGCACTACGTTTGTGTCTCCTTTCCACGAGACTGGCCGGAGCAAGCGGGCCTCTCATGATGCTAGGCTAACATGGCCTAAAACAGGTACCGCGCGGGTTTGGATGCCACAGCAGCCTGTATAGGTGTCGTTTACTTCTAGGTGAATATTGGAAACGAAGAGCTTGCTTGTTGCACTCCAACTGCAGACGACATTGGTAGGGTCGTGTTGCACCATGTCCTCGAGCAACTATGCCGCAAAGTGGAACGACGCAAACGGGGGTTGTGAATGAGGGCGGCGAAGAGTGCGCCCCCAAGACCGAAAATGACTGGATGCTGGGTGGAAAACCCACAACAGTATTTCTCATGCTCGTCGCAGCTGAAATAAATTAACCCTCATGTGGTTATTGAGCACGACTAGACACGCATGCACGCCGAACATCGAGGTATATATACCATGGAGCCCGTCCCGTGAATCTCTCCCGCCCGGAAGACCCAATAACACCAAGAACAAATCAATGCAAACGCTCGTGGCAAGCACGATAGCAACAACAAAGGTGACAAAATTCTCATTTTACATCCCCAGGGCATCTTCACAGGGACGGAGGGAGACGGCGCGAGGATCTCCTGCACCGATCGCTCCCCGAACGGCCTGGTCGTGGCTGTTGGCGACGGCTACAGCCGGTTGCGGCTCTATCGCCACCCGTGCCCGGGAGACCGCCCGCCACCCGCGTTGTTCCACGAGCTCAGGGGCCATGGATCCGGAGGAGTGAGCAGGGCGAGGTTCTTGCGTGGTGGAGAAGTTTTGGTCACTCTCGGGGAAAGCGACAGGTGCAGAAGCCTTCCCGCCCTGACCATTCACTTTTGCTCTCCAGGTAGAATGGGAGAGAGAGAGAGAGAGATGTGTATGCGGAGAGAGGGGGGGGGGAGAGAGAGAGAGTGAGATAGAGACAGAGACAAAAAACTTGAGACAACTGTGTGATACATTTATTTCTTGGGCAGGATTTGCCACGGCTGGTGGACAAGAGTTTCTGTATGGTGGTTCTACTGCAGGTTGGCCCCAGAGTCTCCCTGTATACTTAAGAACTCCTAAACCGCCACCATCGGACCAATGAGAACCAACTCCTTTGCTCCACGGGCACCAAAAAACTCGAAAAATTTGCCTATTTGCCTACGATGTAAAAGATGGATAAAGCTACCCCGCCGGAAGCTTCCCTTCTGTGATGCCCGGCTGATGCACTCACAGTATACAAAAAACCAAGGGAAATTCTCATGCAGTCACCGAGGCAAATGGACAAAATAGACAAAACTGCGACCTCAGCAGTGCGGTGAGAAAAATCATTCGTCGCGCAGCGCATAAGAAGCACCCTCTCTGAGAAATTTCACTGGTTGTAGCAGAAACGGTATAACATATATATGAACTTTTGTGCACATCCGTCTTCATTTTCAAAAGATGGTTGCTCGCGTACTCTGTCAACATAGAAAGGATGAAACATGTTGTTTTCCTCTAGCCATGCTCATGACGCGGTAGAATGAACCATTCTAGGAGAACTAAGATTAGCACGTGTACCACGTAGCTGCTCGAGCCGTCGATGTTGCTGACGCTGCAATGGGTACACACGTACGGTTTCAATGTAATTCGGTGATGCCCATCGGGGAACAAACCGACAAACTATTCCGGCGGGACTCGGAAATATTTTCTTCAGAAAAATTCACGTACGCGAAACAGCTTCATTTGTGATTTCAATCATCATCATGTCTACTCTCGTGTGCTGTTTGAAGCAACGTGAACAAACGGAAATTTCGAAGGATATTCAGGTTGACTCTCGCCGTAGAGTGTTCATGCATTCACTTTGAATCAATCGTTTCACAACCACCAGGTGTGTCTTGCAATGGAAGCTGAGCGGAGCAGGAGCTGGAGATTCCCGCAGCGGAGAGTTGAAGGACAGCGCGGAAGCTGTTGCCGAGGAGGAGAGTGACGGCTACATATTGGATCTAAAGGACGGAAGTGACTTGGACAGAGGGAGCGACTTCGAGACAGCCGCGGAAGAGCGACGGAGAGTGCCGGTGAGCAAGAGACAGAGAACGCAGAACGAACAGAACGTCTCGTCACCATTGGGTAAATTCACAAAGTTCTTGCTGCAGCTGATGTCGCAACTGCTGTCTTGGTGACTTTAAGGCGGGACTGGCAGTGTGACGGGGAAAACGTTAGAGAAAGAGGCAGGGGCTGGAAAAATAATGTTGACCATTTCCGTCGGATGTTAGGCTATGTGTATATTGCTTCGGCGGAGCGTGGTAGAGGCGAACTCCCGTGCCAAAAGAGTGAAATGATAAGGATCAGAATAGGCGAGACTGGAGTCCGCGCACATAGATAACGGCGATGGAGTCAATATTTTTCGCACCTGGGCACGAGAGGAAGCGGGTAGTCTTACTTTAATGGAGACGCGTGATTGTTATCGTAACTGACATTTTTTTCCGTGGGTATTACCAACACGACCTTGTCTGTGGTCCAACCAGCAACAGAGGCGCTTCCCTCCCACGCGCACAAGTCGTGCCACAAAATCCAGTACAGATGCGTGCTTGCTTTTCCAGTACTACAGAGGAGGGAATTATCCTACATAGTCTTTGGGGAGAAAACGCCTTTCTTAAAGGTCCCCTCCACATCGTCCCCATGATATCTAGGGGCCGATAGCTTGTTTAGAAAACAGGAAGACGGTCTTTTCAGGGTAACCAGAACCCGCCCGGCTCACGGGCAGTCAATTCGCTTTCACACAATTATTCACTCCCTTCGCAATTCTCTGTGCCGTAAAAACACGGAGCCGATGGTCTAGTGCTGCACCCACGGCCCCCTTTCATATTTCGTGGTCTTTTTTCGAAATATGGATAACACGGTGGGATTGGACCCGAGTTCTCTGACAGCATGTCCAGACTCTCTTTCACCGGCGCCAACGTGAAAAGAGGGAACCGTGCTTGACAGATGTAGGGAGATGGAAACTTTTTTGAACGGTCGCCTGCTACCTACCTAGCCAAGCTTTCCGGACTCAGAAGACGAGTCTAATTGTAGGACGGGGGTGGTTTGCGCGGACGCTCTGAACGGCACTAACTTCCAGCAAGTTTCACCCCGTTAAGCCTGCTGACAGATGCCATTCGCTCACTCTGTGGACTCGGACCTTAGCCTGACATTGACCGGGAACACCCATGTCTCAACCCCTTCCCAGGCTTACGGGGGAGCACGAAAGCGCAGACGAGCGGCGGCCGTATCGGACCAAGGGCCGACAGAAACGACCAATACTGCCGCAGGCACTGGTTTTGACGGAGGCAAGGCATCGCTTCCGCCTCCACCACGACCATGGGAGCAAGCGACAGTGGCACCATCCAGACCGCCGCCCACCGACAAGAGTGCACCTGCTGACGGCGTTGAGCTCGAGAGGATTCACGGGTACGTACCGAGCTAGACAGAGGGAGAGGGTGAGAGAGAGAGAGAGGGGAGAGAGAGCAAAGCAGAATGTAAACGCGGTATGCATTACATTTCGAGGACGATGAACATGCTTGTATCGTAGATCGTCGAAAAGGTGAAGGAATCGTATATATAGAAAATACCCAATATTGGTCGTCTCGGTTCTCGACGCGGCCAACTAGGGAACACGAAAACCACGCATATTAGTGAAACCTATCTTGTCGACTTCATTTTTCACTCTTTCGTCCCTCTCCATGATGCGATTCTGCAGCTATCGCGGTCGAGACTCGAGGAGCAACGCGGTCTACGCCGGAGCGGACGAGGTTGGCGGTGGCGGCGGTTGCAACCGTGCAGTCTACACTTCGGCCGCCGCGGGGGTTAGCCTCGACCTGACCAACCACACGCAGGTAAACTAAATGTCTGAATCGACTTGTCACGCCGACGATAAACTGTCACATGGTTGTTGTGCTTGGTGTGGCAGTAGTTCCCAGCGTCGGGTGCGTGGGCTACTGGACATCTTCAGTAGCCACTGCCGTGAAAATAATCTAGGAAAATTCGATCCGGGAAGTGACCGTCTTTGCCGCCGACGCCTCATTCCCCATCAACCCCCGTTTTTGAGTGCTTGGGCGCATGGCCTCTGCACGCTGATGTCGTCCTTGGTACCACGGGTACTGGGACCCTGAATACTACTCGATTCCCTTGGTTGGGGTTCTTGGAATGATCTTCACGTCGAAAGGGATGGACGGTCAATGGTCGACTAATGGAGGCATGTAGCCGTTGAGCACCCCCTCGTGGTGAGAGCCGCCGTGTTTTTTCCTCTAGGGATATGATCGAAGCACCTGCGGCCACAGGACAATGAACGCATTGCCTTGACAGAACACACCTTCATATCTTTGTCACAAGCAGAACTTCCAGCTTGGGCACTCAGGGGACGCCACCTGCCTGGCCGCGTTGCCTGATGGGCTCCTGGTGGCCACTGGGGACGTGTCAAGGCGGCCCACTATCATCGTCTGGAAGCCAGACACTGGCGAGGCGGTCAAGGTAGAGAGAAAGAATGCCACCCTCCGCGAGAGCCTGCGCCATCATTTTGGAAGCGCCTACCCCACTTGCCGAAAAAATGCTCAGATCACTGCCCAACGCCTATGGGGCATGCACAAATGCCTATGTGGTTCGAGGTTTATGTGAAGTCTTCACGGGTTTTGTGCTCTGCTACTCCCCCCGTCGCTGCTCTCCACCCAACCACATTTTTATCTCGCCTGCGATCATGTTAAGGCGATCTCGCTGCCTTCGACATGGTGCCGGGATTGTCAGACGATTTTCGTCTCCTATATCTGAACAACTTATTTATCCTCCCAGTTGTGGTTGCTGTCATCGTTGAGCCCACCGTTTCCTTCCTCCTCCCGGAAATGAAGAACGAGCATGTCTCCGTTTCGTTCAAAGAAGCTTATCCCCGACCCTGACCCCTCTTTTTGGCGGCAATATCCGTTTTCCTGACAATTGCCACGTCGTCGCGACGACGTGTGCCACATCGTGCTGTCGTCTATTTCGGATGCACCGCCATTTGGCAGACTCTGTCGGGGTTCCACAGGAGGGCAATCACGGCGCTGTCGTTCTCCAGGGACGGGCGGCACCTGGCTTCACTTGGCTGCGATGACGACCATAGCCTTGCCATCTACGACTGGGAGAACAGCCTGCTCAGGGTGAGGAACGGACCCAACACAGAGCGAGAGAGTGGGAGCGGTGGCGTCAGCGTGAAGGAGGCGACCTACCTGGGTCTTTTCTACGATAAGCATCAAGTTTATCCGAATTTCAGGGTCATGTCTTCTTGCACTGGGTTTCCATGAAGGTTATCTCTTGCCCTGCGTTTCCAGGAAAGTTGGCATGCAAAGGAGGGTGCCGAAGGCATCGCAGAAAGAAATGGAGTGCAGGTTTCCTGTATGAACTGGAGCTACTTCCAGGCTCTCTGCCAAAAATGCGAACCTTGAGTTTGGTTCGATTAGACGTGGGTCACCACTGTAGAGGAGGTGTTCCTTACCGAGACCCACATCCTAGAAACCTGTGATGCTTGACACTACACTCGCGCACAATGCTACATCTGCAAACGTACCAAAACATGAAAAAAAAAAACGATCTTCAAGGCCACTGCCAAAGGAGGGCGGCGCAAGGCGCTCGATGTCGCGTGGAACAGTGCTGGAACACGGCTGGTCACCTGCGGGCTTCGGCACGTCAGCTTCTGGAACTTCGCCGGGGGTCGGAACCTCCTTCATAGCCGCGGGGTGTTCGGAGGGAAGGGGAGGAAGCAGACGCTACCCTGCTGCGTGTTCGTCGGGGACACCGCCGTGGTGGGTTTCCCGTCTTTGTGGAGACTTGGGCCAGTTGTTGCTTGCATCCCACTCCCCCCCGCGGAGCCTTTAGTGATTCCATCGTAAGCCGCCGTTATGGTTTTGAGGCTCTTCCCGACTTCAGGAAGTGAAAGGGGCCGGCTACAGAACGACAAACACTTCGTGCGGCTGGTGTAATATCTGGTATTTCCTTCCATGATGAGAAGTGAATAGACAATAATATGGGCTTATCGTGGTCTTTTTTGCCCATTGGTTGACATTTGTGTCGATGTAGAATCAACCCTACAATATAGATAACTCAAATTCCGCTCCATAACGAAGATGAGTGTTGGCTTTGGGAGGCTCGTACTATTGTACCGTTCCCTAGGCGACGCCCCTCCCTTTTTCATTGCACCATACGAGAGGTATCGAATTCAAGGCCGAGCAACAGCAAAGTTGAGCGTCTTGGCAAAAATGGGGATTTACTGGTCAAAACACTCTGTTTCTCAATGAAGTGCGCGGAAAGATGCACGTCAGCTGCAAGGACTCCATCGTGCACATGGACTTGGGTGAGTTCCATCTCGTGTTGAAACCCTAGTTTGGTTGCCACGGTTTCTCGTTCGTCATCCCGCCAGCACGCTGCCCCCCCGCCCAAACCCTGCCCCTACCCAACAGGTCGGCACCGGCGACGGCCACCTGTACGTGTTCGAGAATGGCGCCACCACCCTCACCCGCTCGGTCAAGGCCCATACCGGATCAGTGTACACTCTCCATCCTGTCTTTTCCGCCGCCCCAGTCAAGGCGGCGGCAGCGTCGGACGAGCAGCTGGGCTATGACGGAAGCGAAGGGCAGGGGTTCTGGAGCGGAGGCAAGGACGGGCTGGTGAAGTTCTACAATGGCCAGGTCTGTCTATCCGTCCGTGTCTTGCCTGATCTGGATTGTGCAGGAATTGCGAGAAGGACGGGAGGGAGGAGGAGCACGGCATACCTGCGACTAGGAAGCATTCAGAAAGAAAATGAATGTACTGGATTTCCGAAGGAATTGAGAATTGGGCGCTGGCATGGTTGTAGTCAAGTGCCGGGGAGTTGCCACATTGGTGCTGCAGAAACGTTAAGGCCAACAAAGTTGACCAACAATCCACCACCGAAATGGGCTCCTGCGTACTACGGAGTACTAAACGCGCAACCGGGGGTTGGACACTGCTGTAGCTTTTGTACTACAACGCAATCGGGGTCGTTCAAACGGGATGGTAGTAAAACTAAATGAACAGCACGTAAGGGCTACTACACCTGCAGCGAAAGCCGATCGTACCACGAATGTTGCAAATGCTTGAGTAATCTTTGGGTTTAGGCTCGCGTGGGGATAAGGCTACCTGTTGCTCGCTGCAAACCCTACATCTTTGACACGTGGTCTACAACAAACATCACTGTATTGCGTACACATGTAGCACATGTGTTTCCCACGTCCTGCGGTAAAATCGCTGCTCTTGTGTGTAAGCTGATTATAGTTGGACAGACACATGGCAGCCCAGCGTTTATTTATTCGTGTAGGTTGCAGCGAGCTATGATACGAAGAACGGGTGATGAGTCACGTCTCGGACGAGACAATAATACCACGGGACGAACTTTTTCTTTGCCGTTCTCGAAGGGCAAAACCTGCAGGCATGTACATCGTGAAAGAGCCAACCATTTTCATGGTCCTCACTCCCCGACGCCTCATTCGAAGATTGCTTCTTCGTCGGCCTTCCCTCCTTCTTCGTTCCGATGGCCCCACTGTAGTTGCAAGGCGTCAAGGAGTTCAGCGTGGCCACGATAGCTTCTAACGGCGTGCCGGGTGGTGCAGCGGGAGCTCTGAAGGTAGTTGGATCCAAGGGTATCACTGACAACCTTTGCTCGTATCATTACCATCCGTGCAGGAGAAAATGATGTAGTTGTGAGTGTTCGTGAACTCTCTTGGTTGAGACGAGGGGAGTACTCTTGTCGTCGAACGAGATTCCTGGCGTGACGAGTAGGCATTTTTCGCACTTGCGATCGCAGCGGCGAGAATGATTAGATGTCTAGTGAATACAGGAAGCTCTCGTGAACGGAGGACCGGCGTCTCCCCGAAAGCTGTCGCGTCGCCTTCCAAGAACTTGCAAGGCATTCACCAGGCGAAGGGTGCACCCCCGTCTAGCAATTCCTGCCTACCGAAACGTTGAGTGCGTTGTGGCCTTCGTCAAAGATGGCTTTCGCCTAATGTATTTTCAATTTTTTCAGCGTCATCACCTTATGTTCTTGCCGGGTTACTTCACTCGATTCCACCTCCCATCCGCCATCCATTCATGCGTGCAGGCGCTCGCCGGTGGCGGCGGCATGGGAAAGAAACGCCTTCCTGGGGCGGGTGGCTCCAGCGTCAGCCTCGACCCCGCCGTTCGGAGCGTGTTCACATCTAGAGACGGCCGCAAGCTACTCGTGGGAACGAGGGGCGGGGAGCTCTACGAAATGAGCACTGCAGACGGGAGCGACGCCGCTGCCGTTGGTGCCGGCGGAGCGTCGGGGCGGGGGAGCGGCGGCGGGCCACTAACCGCAGGACACGGGAGAGGACAAGTGAATGAAATTGAATTGAATTTACGCTTGCATTGTACCGCCCTGGGGCAGAAGAATCCCATGGTTCTCGTTCGACCCCTTGACAATGGTAGTGGTAAACAGTGTGCCACCGTAGCCAATGATATCCTTCCATGGTGGGCAGCAGCGGTGTGCTGGGAGAGGCTGGACGTGGTGTTTTTTCTGTCAGAACAAGTGGCTATTGTGTTTGTAATGCCAGGCTACACACGCCTACTGTAGCAACACGGGAATACCCGCATGCACGCTGGACTACACAACGATTGGTTGGAACTACCACACGACACGATCGGTTGACTCCGAAAGTTTGCCTTTTATCTTTCCCTCTTCCGGCCACCTTATAACCCACGGAAATAAAGGTGTGGGGATTGTCGGCTCACCCTACGGAACGGCTTTACGCCACTTGCGGTGATGATGGCAGCGTGAGGATATGGTCACTCGATGACCGGAGGGTGGTCGGGAGCATTTCCACGGACTGCTCGTGCCGCGCGATCTGTTACAGCCCTGATGGAAGCGCTCTTGCGGTAAGCCATTCACTGCAGCATGATTCTTCATGGGTTATCGCTTGTCGAGTGGCATTGGTTTTGGAGTTCATATTTCGCTTGGCCATCGACTCTGAAGAAGATTTGCAAAAGGAGGGGCTCAGACAGAGGACAAGACGCACTCGCACGCAGAGACTCGCGGGCCCTTGGCTTCAACGTGAACGAGTGGATCCTAGTTTTCTCGCACCACCTCCAGGCAGTCATTGCATTGTCTACCCATTCCCGCTGTGAGTTGAATAGGATTCGCACCCCAAGGGCAGAAATTTGTCCATGTGGGGTTCTTCTCGTCCTTGTCCACACCTACCCGCCGCAATACAAAACTTGGCGTTATTGAAAGGTGGGATGCGGTGGTGGCAAGGGCAAGGCTGATGCCACCAAATCCGGAACGTTCCTGGTACTCAAGTCGGAGAACCTATCACTACGCCACGAAGGAAAGGTGAGGCATGAGAAAATGTGGGAATTGTCGTCGTTTTCGTTGTCGTGCCGTTATCATGTTGTCGTTGTTGTTGTTGTTGTTGTTGTTGTTGTTGTTGTTGTTGTTGTTGTTGTTGTTGTTGTTGTTGTTGTTGTTGTTGTTGTTGTTGCTGTTGTTGTTGTTGTTGTTGTTGTTGTTGATGTTGTTGTTGATGTTGTTGTTGCTGAAGACGGTTGGCATGAGAGCGAGTACTACAATCAAAAGACAGCCGCGAAAAAACGGAGATCAGATCTGCAGCTTCTGCGATGGCGAATGGTTTCCGTACAGCTTCGGCATTTCTGGTACAAGCGCCGCGTTTGTTTCTGTATCACGCGCGCTGGGTCTGATACTGCCAGACAAAAAGTGTTCCGATGCCTGAACAACACATCCGAACGTTCCCCGTTGCATGAAAGCAGGATGCCGATGACTGGATTAGGGATGTGAATTATTCGTCAGATGGTGCCCGTTTGGCTGTGGCCTCGAATGACTGCAAGGTACGGTGGGTAACATTGTGCGCTCTGCGCACACGTGGACTTCGTTCTGAAGTGTCGTAAAAACTTTCCTTTTAGCCAGGGCCATAAGACGCTGTACAAAGAACGCATGCCTCGAATAACCTGCCCAACACCGATTCCCCATATTTTGTGAATGCTAGTTTTTGGCGCAGGCAACCATACGAGCCAACTGCTTCTCCACTCCAATATTTACAGCACAACACTTCATGAGTAAAGCCCGATGACCTTCCTGAGCCCTTTCCGGCTGCCCAAAGACAACTTTTCCAGCCCCTCTTCCCGACACGCATGGTAGAGTATCCACTGAAAACCCCGACCTCCTTTCGCTCCGGAAACTCATGCTGTCACTGCAAGGTGTACATTTATGCAACGAAGGACGGGTTCACCAAGCTCAGCACCATCGCCTCCCACCAGAGCTTCGTGACGCACGTTGACTTCTCGTCGGACGGCAACTACGTACAGAGCGCCGACGGAGCTAGTTCTCTTCTCTTCGCCGACGCCGCTACAGGCATTCAAATCCCAAGTGAGTGCGCGGAGCTTGCTTCGCGCGAGCCTTGTCGTGTTTCTCCGGTGTGATGTCGCCACCACGCGTCTCGTATCCTTGTGGCATGTCGTAACCGTGCTTCGGCAATTCACTCATGCAGAGAGTGCCGCGAAGAAGCTCGCTGTAGCTCATTCTCGGTCCGTCGCCAAACAGCAGGCTCGACCCTTTACGCACATAATTCATGAACATCGTTTGAGGGAATCAAATTAGAATTTTTGTTCGTCTCTCGTCTCTCCGTTCGTCGTTCACAGGTGCGACGGCGATGAAGGACATCGAGTGGGGCACGTGGACACTCCCATTCGGGTGGGCGGCGAGGGGCGTGTGGCCGATAGCTGGGAATGACCCCGGGACCGAGATTTCCTGTGCCAGGCGCTCCGGGGACTCCTCCCTTCTCGCGGCGGGCGATAACTTCGGGTGAGATGTCGCCTGAACTACTTGTGTGGGCGTTTGTACGGGCTTCCCCTCCGGGCGACGAAACACAAGTGTGTAGTTCAGGACGAAGATTTACTTATGAAAATCACATGGTTACGCGATATGCAGCGAACTCATAAGTTCAGGACACGATTGACTGACGGAATTCACGTGGCTACGTACGTCTCTAAATGCACCGTCAAGAGAAATACGTTCTTTTGGAAGCCTCTCCAACAGTCGAAAGAAGCTCGACGTTGGACAAAGTTGTGCCCTGAAACTTCTGCACAACTCGTAGCTCTTTGGTGGTATCATGTTGAACAATGGTCATATCGATGGTTTCAGTGCTGCTGTCTCCCGTTTGCTTTGACGAAAATATACGCAGACTTTCCACGGAATAAATCCCGCACGGAGTTCGCAACAACAACAGCATGGGAGATCGGCCACCACAATATCAAAGTCGCAATGCTCGGTGGCCACATTTTTCTTCCGCTGATCCCCTCCGCCTCTCCTGTTTGGTTCACTGCCGAAATGAAAGGCGGCTGCGGGTTTTCAAGTACCCGGTGCCCATTCCAGGATCATGCTGCTCCGAGTACCGGGGTCACTGTGCTGCAGTACGGAGGGTGTGCTGGTCCGCTGGAGACACGCATCTCTTGAGGTTCGATGGGGAAGGACGCTGGACTGATGTGACTTTTTGCGCCGCCATCGCATATTAATTGAACACGGGTTTCACTCGTTGGCAGTTTATTGGCTGGACCGCATTCACCCATGACGAATCTACCCCAAGCAACGCTCTCACCAATGAATTTGTTGAAATGTGGACTCTATCGCTATCCACAACAAATTCGTCATTCCGCCGTCACTCCCAACCGACTGTCTTTTGTGTTTTCTACGTGTTCAATTTGCAGCTGCGGGGTGGATGGAAGCGTGATGCAGTGGAGGATGATAGCAGAGCCAGATGCGATCGATAGCGGAGACGAGGCCCAGCGCAGCGGCGAGGACAGCGAGCTGGAGGGCGACGGTGGCTTGCGGTGCTGCAGCAGCAGAAAGCAACCGCAGCAACAGACGGTGCGCCGCTCTACGCAGCGTACTCCACGTTCCTTCACTGTACGGTTTCGCTGCCGGGTGTTTTTTCTATGGCCAACAGCAGCATCGCATCAGTAGCGCATAGCGGTGGGCATTAGCGGTGTCGACGATACCATCTTCTTGTTTTCGGTTTCCGGCCGGTTGTCGTTTCAGTCCATCTCTCTTGACTGCAGTGGATGAGCTCTAGTGCTGATAAACCATGATCAACCAGTAGCTGCATGGCGTGGCTGATCGCGTGGGTACATATATTGAAAGATACCATTTTCAGCAATAGAAATGACTGCCAGACAGCCAGGCAGACTGACAGACTGACAGAAAGCGACACGACCGCGGTGGCGTGTGATTATTGTGATATTGTGGAGGGTGAGGGTGGGAGGGGCCATGTAGAGCACCCACCCGTCAGGAACCCAAGCCCAAACGAACCCAGTACCCCCCCAGTGATTTCACTCTCCACATGTGTAAGACGACCGCGCTTCATCGATAACCTCGTCAGGCAATGCTGGAGGAACCAGCCGATGCTGCCGACCCTCGTACCAGTGGCGGCGGGGAGGCGGCAGGGGGCGATGTCGCGGCGGCCGGCGGTGGTGAAACCGCAGCGGCGAGCGTGGGGGCGGCAATGGCGGGTGTGAGCCCGTCCAAGGCGAAGATGCCGTGGGTGGCAGCGATGGTCCCGCCCTCTAACATGAAGGCGGGTATACTTTCAACACCTTAGCAGTGCACAGTCACATTATGCTCAATTCTTCATGAATATTGTGCCCGTTTCAGTGTGAGACTTGGAGCGCAACACACCAACCGAGCTGAACACCCCTCCCTACCTGACACACTCGCCCTGTAGCGTGAGTGCTCTGTCCACTTGGTTACAACGTGGCTGGGGCGTGGATGGCTTGACTCTGACCTCGAAACGCAACTCACGCATTTAATGATGTTCATTGCAAGCTTTGCTCGCTTGCTCCCCGATTCTGTGCCGTGCGCCGTGCGCCTTTACTTCGTTTGCCATTTGCTCTGTGCGACACCAGATGTCAGACACGACTGCTCCGGAACTCCGCACGAGGCTTGATGCTGTCCACGGCTGCCGCGCGGAGGACCTTCGGGGATGTGTTTGGTACAACCACGAAGAAGGTGAGAGTATTCCCCGGCGAAATGTAAAAGTGATAGCGGGTGCTGCCTGCCCAGAGAAGGGTGAGTAGGACGTGAGTTGGGGGTACGTGGGGGGTTTATTGTTTTCTTTCGAATCGCATTTATTAATATTTTCTACCGCCCGAGGGAAGAGATAGATACCAAACTGGCAGAGAGCACATTTCCCGCAGACACGTTTCTGCGGCCTTTCTATCGTGCCTCTGCCTCTCTCCCAATAAAGACTGTCTCTCTCTTCCCTCCAAACAGCAACTGAGGGTGCCCTCTCCTGCGGTGGAGGGAACCAATCTTACTGCACACAGTAGTCTCAGATGACCAAGTCCCTAAAATGGTACCCTACCATTTTCTTCGCCAACATCGAGGTCATCATAACACTACTCGTGCAGTGGGATTAGCTCCTGTTACTGCCTACCTACCGCACACAGTGCTTTCCCCCGATTGCTTCCCGACTCGCTATGTCGTACCGAACGGGACACCCCTTGCGAGTCCTCTACTGTGGGCGGCTCCTACACATTCCTCTGACTTCATCTTTCCCCCCTTCGGGATACTCGGTCCAATGTATTGCCCCCAACAGCCATATACAGCAAATTCCCAAATCCTTAGCTAAATGGTGCAGCGCGCGTTAGTTTCTGGGATTCACCCCTATTTCGTAACTATTTGCCTCGAAGCTCCGCGGGCTTGGGCATACTTCAGAACTTGCACTGCACAACCTTTAACTAAGACAGGATGTTAACGGCGCGTCATCGGGCAACGTTGCACAACATGACAACGACGCCACCACCAGAGCAACTGCTCCGCCGTCTGCTCTGTATCCCGATCATGGGTCGTTAACCTCATCCCGATTCTTGGGTCGCCTGATGCGATGCACGAGGAGAACCCCGACCACTCCGGCGTGACGACGGCAGGAATAATCGGCACCCGGCGGTGATACGGGTGGCTTCCTACCAGCTGCCCCGCTCCGCGATTGAGGACCCGATGAGGTCGTCCATCCGGTCTGAGTTCGCTTGTGCCTTAAATCTCGCTGCAGCCCTTGTTGCCATGCCGTCGGGCCGCCCTCATTCGGCCGTGTGTTTTAATTCACTCAGCTCTCGGCGACCCCTTCAATAACATCCTTTTGATTCCACCGCCGCCCCTGGGCCGCGGTCTGCGGTCCGCGGAGAAGACCGTGCACGGCACGGGCGCCTTGCTGCTCCCCGAGCGGGCGTAAGCCCTGGCTCCCATGAAGACGGTCGCGGCGTGGTCGCGGGGTGGGGCACCCGGCGGACATATCCGCCGTCATGGCTTCTGAAAGGAAACACCTGGCGTTGCCGGCCACGATCCCCACGCACCGGTCCGCCCGCGTCCTGCCGCCCTGCCCAGGCGTGACCTCGATTCAATCGCCATCTGCGAGTGTGCAAGCGCTCCCTTTCACAACAAGCAACAGAGCAAAACGAAACGAGTTGATGCGTTTCGTCCACGCAAATAGCGGAAAAATTGGCACTTAAATATTTCGTGCGTACATCGCACGAATGCCGACTGTGTAAATGTGGGTAGTGCTGTTGAAATAAGCCCCCCCAAACCAGGCCACCAAAACACGATTGATGTGTTTCGCCCCGGCACATACCGATTGCACATCATCTGCACGATATACATGACCAACCGCGTAATCGCACAAACTCGGCGGCCGCAGGAACGGCACTACTGTATGAAACAGGCGGCCCTACCACAGAACCAACAACGAATGTTGGTTGCTTTGTCCTGGCGGATACTGACAAATCCACACCATGTTCATGATTCTACTGGATAGTGAGAATCGCTCGAATGCGACAACCGCGGGAAGCACTGTTGTTGCTAGGAACACGCCCACAACCACGGCCGCCATTCACGACTCATGTGTTTGGTTGTCGGCATAATATATCCGCGTGAATCGCCCACTGCGAAAACCCTGTCAGCACTGTCTCCACTTCCTGTCAGCTCCAGAGGCTGGCACACCACTAGAAGCCTTCTATGTCACCACCTCGCTAGTTGTCTCTGCGATACCCTCTCTCTGGCACGCTAAGACTCTGTGGACACAAGGCTTGAACATAATGGTAACATATGCGACTCCTCCTCTCGACCGAGGGGGCCCCGCAGTACGCAATGCGTTCCGGGTACCCCAATATAAACAGTATGGCAATTCGAGTTGTTTCAATAAACCTCGGTTTGTTTTGTCTACGCCTTTGTCTACGCCTTAAACAAACCTGCCCTTTTCGGGATTGTGCCTGTCGCGGGTCACTGGGGCCAAGTGGGGAGTCTCTTACAACTCCCCACTTTCGCAACTTGGCGGATAGTATATAACCTTCGATCTCGACGAGTACAGCTGCGTGAGACCGAGACAGAGAATCAATGGCAAAACGTACCCCCACGGGTCAAAATTGAGTGAAAATTTCCCAGCGTGGGTTCTGGCGGCCGGTCCAGAACAGATCCAGAATCCTGGACGTTTCGATGTGATGCTGGTTCATCGCTCGTACGCGGAGTACTCCGCACGACCAACCTGCGTGGTGGGTTGTTTTCACCCCGTCTTCTTGTTCGTTTAATGAAAATGTTTCTCTTTGTCACCCTCGCTTCCGTCGACACCAGGTATCGTCTACCCCGTGGCGGCGCTCTGCGTTATCTACGACCCCCGCACCGGCCGACAGTCTTACCACGAGAGTCACCTGGGTGATGTCATCAGCCTAACCGTTTCTTCGTGCAGGCGTTTCGCCGCATCAGGGGACGCGGCTGATCCTCCCCTGGTTCACGTCTGGGACGCCGTCACCGGGGCAGGTGAGGGATACAGCGACGAGGGTGTTGAAAGAGGGGGTTCGACGACTTATCGTTCACTACTGTTTACGAAACGGGCCTCAGGTATGCGGTTGAAGTCACACTTCGGTTTCGCTGTTCAGCGAAGCAAGACTGCTAACCTTTGCCGGTGCCTTACTTCTTACACCTTCGAAACCACCAATTTCCAATCCGATAGGCCTACGGTCTCGTCGTGTGAGTATTTGCGTTGGTTGGTGTCAATTGCAGATGTTCACACGAATCAATCATCCGCCAACCTCCTGTACCTCCACCCGTGGTGCTACTCGTGCGCCGTGTCCACGACGCAATGTGCAATCGGCAGGGGTTGTGTGCGGGGGGGCGGGAGGAGAGACCTCCGGCCTGCTGCCCTCCCTCCACAGGGTTGGCGTCGCGCTGCTGGCGTTCTCTTGCGACGGTCACTGGCTCGCATCCATGGGTCACGATCCGGAGCACACGCTGGCCGTCTACACGTGAGCTGTCGATCCGAAAATGACACGTGCTATGAGAGAGACATTTGCAGGGAAGATCCTCAAATGTGCCAAATACATAGCTAGGAAGGAAACGTTGAGCTCCGCGCTCAGTAGTGTACACCACTGCCACTGATGCGGGCAAAAAGGTTAGGTCTGAACGTGCGGGAGGGTAACCGAGAACGGGGGTGGGTGGGATGGAGGAAGCGGGGGCAACTAGCCAACACAGCTCGAGCGGGACGGCTGTTGAAGTACCTGCTTTCAACGGCGAACGGGTAGAGGAGGAATTATGATGAATTATATAGTGGGCGTTGTGTGGGAGAATGAGGGATACATTATCGCACTCTTGATTTCTGTCCCAGGGCGTCACAACTTCATCAAGCAACCCCCTGATGCCCTGCTGCTTGCTCAATAACAACACCCTTCATGTCGCTGGTTGGTTTTTCAGGAGCGTCACAACTTCATCAAGCAACCCCCTGATGCCCTGCTGCTTGCTCAATAACAACACCCTTCATGTCGCTGGTTGGTTTTTCAGGAGCCCTTCCGGGCAATGGTGGGACGCTTTCCCGGTGGCAACCGCCAAGGCCGGCTTCACCCGCTTCCTGTGTCTGGTTTTCACGGGGCAGGAGGCGTTCCCGCTGTTGGCGGGCGGGATCAAGACCGTCTCCTTCTTCGACCACACCGATGGCTCCAGGGGCTTGAGACGCAAACGAGGCGTGTTCGGGTGAGTCCATACTGGGCCCATTTGGTTCTTACGCACAAAGATTGGTGGCGAGTCAGGTACTGAGGGGTAAAGTTTCATCCAAACACCCTGCGTTTGGCTACAAGATTCGCGATCCAGACGTACACGGCAATTTCCACACCAACAGAGTCAACGCAACATCGAGAGGGGTGACGCATGTAAGCTAGAGCGCCATTCAGGTGCCTCCTGGTACGTCATCGGCACCCGGAGGATAGCATGGATCCCCAAGTTCTTGTTTTATTCCGTGCAGGTGTTGTTAGAGCGGTGACGACCTGTGACTGAATATAGCGGTGGCTAGGAGAAGATCCAGCCGGTGGTGGAGTTCACTCCAAGAGTGGCGTGTAACCCCCCCGTACTGTGGTCCACTTGGGCTCGACTACCGACATCCAGTCCAAACGGTGATGTGGATTGAGCACCCTGCTTTTTTGGCCACGACCCTGGCAGGACATCGAGCGGAAGTCCTCCATAGCTTTGTTCCGCGTTGACCGAACCTCTCAATCTAGTCTACATTGTTAATTCACTTATTGGGCAGGTTCCGGAAAAAGATCCAGCCCGTTCTGTGCGCTGTGAAGATGGGCGAGGACCAGACTACGCTGACGGGAACTGTGACCGGCAATCTCTATTCCTGGAAGGTGAGGGTCACCTTCTTTGGGGTAGAAGACCGTGCCACTCGGTTCCGAAGTACTTGCTGAGCCTATTCAGAGCCTTTTTGGGCACACCTTGAGTCTTGTTGTGGGATGATATATATTTGGCGTCCAAACGTGCTTTGCGTCCTGCGAGAGAGGCAAGAGCAGGCGCTCTCCTCAGGACGGTGGTTATTTTCCATGTTGTTCGACCCGCATCCGTCACCTTCATGAGAACCCATGTCGCGTCCACGAGCAGGAACCCCTGTGCTCGTTTTGGCTGTTTTCGCGTTTCAGCTGTCGCTGGTGTTGCCATTTGCGTAGTCATTGTGTTCCCTGTTCTTGCCATTATCGTTGTGGGTTGTTTTGCTGTCGCCGCTGTTGCTGTTGTTGGTGTCGGTGGGAGTGTTGTTGCTCCTGCGTTGTTATTCGGTCTCCACAAAGAGCAATATATTTCCCCCTCACAAATGCATGCTTCCAGGCCCACCGTGTGCACCGGAGCAGTGCCGGCCACGCCGGACCGGTCTATTGCTGCGCTAGGGCCGGGGTAAAGGGATACCTTACGGCGGGGAAAGACGGCTTCATCATGCTCTGGGACGCAGAGCTGCAAAAGCTGAAGCAGGCAAGTTCTGACGTTTCTGGCTCTGTTCGCGGTAGCGTTTCGACCCTCAATCTCAATCTCTCTCAATCTCTCTTCCCCGCCCACCCCCCTCTTTCTGTGTCTGCCCAAACGTTCTCTCGAGCGACCCAGAGTGTTCTCAGTCCGGGCGATGCATGTGGGTCAATAGTCTGAAAAACTATAACCATGGGTCAATACGGGAAACTTCGTCCCCTTTGTTTTTCTTTGCCACTATCTCTCTCCGTCCATGCCGGCGTGAAGCCTTATTGACGACTTCTCAGGTACGTTCTGACTGATGAGACAATTTGGAATATGTTCTACAGTACATGTAATTGCCGCAATATTCGTTTGTATCGTTTCTCTCCGTCCGCCTCTCTCCCGCGGTCATCTCGTTGACGACCTCCGTTTGCCTGCCCAATGCTGTACCTACCCCGTCTTCCCATCCGAATGTCCGCCTGCCGTTGTCTCAACCCTCTTCTCTTTGGACAGTACGGGGTCTTCGAGAGTCACCCGGCAAGTGCCATGCTGCATTCGATCTGCTCGGTTGGATCGGCCTGCAAGTTCGTCACGTGCACCCGCGCGGGAGAAGTTTACGAGATTTCGAAAGACAGGTACATTTGATGGGTCTGCAAATGAATCAATGGGTGTGTGTGGGATGTCGGGAACTCTCGGCAGCAGGAAGCTCCACACAGGTTTACGGCGTTGCGGCCGACCGCTTGGTGGGAAACAGTTCAGGAAGTAGGTAACCTGCCCCCCCTCGTCCAAGAATAAGAGTCGAATCGAGCCGTGAGTTGTTGGTGGACTGGTTTCCGAGAGGCTCTTCACTTGCGTGTGCATGTCCCCTTCAACACGCCATGCCGGGATTTGAGTTCCCCATCAAGCCGAGCCACCACCTATTGGGCCATCAGGGTGGCCTCTTTCGTATGTGATCGGTGTTTCAAAGTAAGGAGGAACTGTCGGTTTGACGTTCTCTCGTGAATGCGGCGTCGACCCGAGCACGGACATTGGCTTCGACAACGTCACCCATCATATGCGCAAACGCGTGATAAATCGTTTTTCTATCTCGCGACCCGATCCGAACACTTTCACTTCGGCTGCGTACACAAAGAGGCGTTTTGTACCGCTCTTAGCAGTGTTACTGCATGTGATATCTAGACGCCGTTGGGTTTCTGAGGATCCAACAAGACCCCCTCTCGAACTCCGAATGCTTTGGTCGTGGCGCGACACAGTGGGCGCCTCCTTCTTCTCGCAGACGGGCACGGCAAGGGCCAGCTGAGGGGGCTGGCGACCCACCCCACGGATCCGGACGTCTACGCCACTGTTGGAGATGATGCCTTTGTTAGGGTATGTTGTTGTCCTTAATGTTGACTGTAAGTTTGGCGTTCGGATCGTTTCGTAGGACCCACGTACGTCGGCTGTTTCCGGACGTGTCCAAAGGGTCGCTCGGTGTGGGCCTTGAATGCCGTCGGAATATTTTTCGGTCTATTCGATCAAGCGTGCACGGGACATCTATCCAGAGGGCCGACGAACCTACTCAACGTGCACTCTACATCAATCATCAACACGTAATATTCTGTCGTGCAAGGTCTGGAGCTTGAGCCTTCGCCGGGCCACCCTCAAGATGAAGGTGGACTCGGCGGCGCGGTCCCTCGCGTTCTCTCCCTCCGGAAAGCACCTCGTTGTCGGCCTGGGCGGGGACCGTGACGCCATGGTCAAGGAAGGGGCGGTGATCGTCCTGTCCGCGGAGACCCTGGAGATCTTGGAGGAGGTACAGCAGATATTTGGTCCCTTCAGCACCCTAAAACACGAATTTATACGTAGGAGCAAGTGGAATTGATTCAAGCGATATGGCTTGGACGTACCTTCTGATCCGTTCCGTGGGACGTCCCATGGTGACTTCCAGACTCCTTAGTGCTGTTGGGATGCACAGTGTAGCAGACCGCTGGTCCGGTGCTGTTATCTGTAACCATGCAAGCTTCTGTCAAGTTAATGTACCGCGAAGACGTTTCCCACCCAACCGACGATGTACATTTCGAGAGGAAAATGACTGCGGCGCCAGTCTCGGCAAGCCGCTTGTTGGATGTACTCACAGCATCAACAGATTATTGCGAGCAAGAATTTCCCGAGCAGATGGAGCGGGGAGTTTGGGGGTTCAATGGTTGCTATGGATTAGATTTGGTGGTACCAACTTTATCACATATTGCAGGTTTGAGGGTATGGGTGTCTACAACGGAATTTGTGTGCGTGGCTTGTGGTTCCTCACTTCCTTTTTCTGTGTATAATCAAGTCCTTTTTCCGGCTCTCACGCCAACCCCGGCTTCCACGCCCATACTCCGGCTATCACGCCAACCCGGCTTCCACGCCTTCAGGACTCCCACGTCCCTAAATATACCTTTACATCAGGGCCACCACGCCACCCGGCTTCCACGCCACAACTATATTATACACGAGCTTCCACGCTCCACCACGTAGAAGGGCTTTCACGCCCGCGGATAGTTTCTACATTTTGACCGTTGGCAGTACCCAGCTGCTGGCACCTTTTGTTTCCCACTACGGGACCCCGCGCCGAGGCACCCACGCACAAAGCTACTCAACACGCTAGCGTTTCGATCAAGAGAGTGGCCGCTGTGTCTACGCGCGCAAGATGCCGGATGGAGACGGACGACAGCCTCCGGGGGGACAAGGTCATGGTGATCCTTCCCCGGGAGAAGGCACCGGCGATGGAGGAACCAACTATTCGTTCACCGCCGATGCAGAAGAACAAGACAATCTGGGAGGGAGAGCGGCGGCGGGGGGAGATCAGCAAGACTCGATGCGTCAGCTGGTCGACCTTCTCAAGCATGCTTTCACGGCAAACTCCCAGGACCAGGGGCATCGTGCCCATTCAGGCACGTCTAGCGCCCAGACAGTAGAGTTGAAACAGCGGGACAAAGTCGAGGTCCCTGTTTGGAGTGATGATTTCCTCAAAAATCGATCGATGGAGGTTGCGTTGCGGATTTTCACGAGTGCGTTTGAAGCGTGGATGGAGAACGAGGGAGTGGTTGACGCAATGAGAGGCCCAGAGATTCCTGTAGCTGCAGCTCAAGTGAATGTGGATTGGATGAAACGTTCGTTTGGTGAGGAGAGAGTAAAGCAGTCTAGGAAGGTATGGATTTTCATGCTGTCGAAGATCACGGCACAATCTATTCAAGGGCAATTGCTCGCAGCGGAGAGTCCGCAAGCCGGGTACAAAATTTTCTTGGACTACTACCGACGCAGTAAAAACGAGGAAAGACAGACGTTTAATGATCAGTGGAATGTGCTGTGTCAGAGGAATGGAGAAAGTTTGATGGACTACTTTGGTAGAGCTAAGGCGCTTTGGATGAGACTGGTGTCATACGGTGATAATCGTGCTGAAGTGTCCATGTGCAAGCACATCGCTCGGGGTTTTTTGCCAGAATTTGAGAAAATTAAAGAGCGTGTCCTTTTTCACCCCATGTTGTCGAGTGCACAAATGCAGGAGGCGTTGAGGACGGCTGAGCACGAGCAGAGGTACGAGCGGAGGTCTGGAGAGAGAGGAGAGGAGACGAGGCACGCCCTCGTCGCTGCCGGCATGGGCCGGGGCGGCGGGCAGAGGAGACCAGCCATTGTCGGCATGGGTCACGGCGGACCGCAGCAGCAGCAGCAGCAGCAGCAGCAGCCACAGGCGTCGATGCAGCCACCGCAGCAGCAGCAGCGGCAGCAGCAGCAGCAGCAGCAGCAGCAGCTGGGACCGTACATCTGCCAGTACCACGGGCCCCAACACCTCGCACGCGACCGCTGACTGTCACAAGTTGCGCAGCGAGTTCCTGGCGAATTACAACGAGATCAGCGCGTACTTGAGCGGCAGGAGGGACGCCGAGGCGGCCGCTCATCCACGAGGCGGATCGCAGAACCTGGGGCGGGTTGGTGGTCCATCAGTACAGCAGTCGTACCAATTCCAACACGGTGCGGGCTGGAGTCAGGGCCACCCTCATGCGCCTCAGGGGCCGCCGCGTGGGCCAGGACCCGGAGCTGGGGGGCAGATGCAGGGGCGCAACGATGGGGGACGGGGCTACGGCGGCTACGGGCCTCGCCCCTACGAAAGCCGTGGGCAAGGCGGCGGCCGCGGGGGCAATTTCCCGCCGGCCAACGTACCTGCAGGGCAGCTTGCCAGCGTCCCGCGGCCCTTTTTTCCGGCTCACCTGGCCATCGGGGGCGGAGATTCGTTCGGTGGCGAAAGCAGCTCGGGATGGCAGCAAACGTCGGCGCCGGCACCCACGCCAAGCTGGGCCCCATCACCTTCCGAGGCGGGATACGGGTATGGGCTCGCGGCTCACGGGGGGAACCACAGCGGCGGTTCCTACGGCAACGCCGGCGGGGGATTTGGCTTCGGCTATTTTTCCGAAGACGGCGGGCCGCACCAGCAGCAGGAGGCCAACGTAACATACTGCCCTTCTGCTGCAGGTCCTGACGCGTATCAGCCGAGAGTCTACAACGAGGCCTTCTACGTCTCGGAGCAGCCGGCGCCCTTCCCGCAGCAGCAGGCGAGTTTTGAGCAGCAGCAGGAGCAGCAGTACCACGGCGTGCCTCAGGCGGCCTCTTCCTCCTCCTCTCCCTCTCCAGATCCAGGCGACGTTCTACCTCCTGCTGGCGACGCCCCTCTTCGTCTCTTCATGGCACGAAGTGTGTGCCCTCGAGGCAAGTTTGATTCTTTTCTTGAGTCTGCGTTTGGTTTTAAGGCGTCTGACGTTTTCGTACCTGCTGTACCCGGTGTTGACCCTGAAATGCTTGCGAGTCACGATAGGAATCACTGTTTTTCTGAGCAAGATTTGCACAGGGTTGCTTCTCCGAGTCTGTCTGCGATGTTCGAGAATTATGAGAAGGAGACCGATTTTCATGAGACTGATGCGATTGTGCCCGCTGTGCCTGACGTGGTTGTGAGTACTGAGTCTGATGGGATAATGCATGCTGTCCATGATGTGAGGGTGCCTTCTATGCCTGCTGTGATCGCGACTGCTGAGCCGGATAAGATTGTGCCTGCTGCCTCTGATGTATCTGGAATGCTAATTGTAGCTCGTGTCACCAAGCGTCCCACAGTAGACAAAGCTTTTCTATGCCAACCGTACATGCCGAATCCGAAGGGTAGCGAGCAGTGGCAGGCCGATTCTGGAGCGAGCGCGATGATTTCGAACCAGATAGATCACATGTACGACATTCGCCACTTGGGCCAGGATGAACAATTTATTCAAATTGGAGACTCGGCTCTCATCAAGGTTGCAGCTGTAGGAAGCTTAGACCTTCGGTTCCACCAAATCGGAGCCGACGGGAAACAGGAAGACATAGACATTACTGTGCCAGAAGTTTTGTTTGTGCCCGGGTGTGGATTCAATCTTTTTTCGGTTTGGAAAGTTTCGCACAAGCATGAAGTCCGCATAAACCCTAGCGGAACTCAACTGCTGCACGGTAAACTACGATTCATCCGTGGAGTGTCAAGTGACTCCCTTTTCGCCTCCCGCCTTCCCCACAAAGATGTGTCTCAAGTGAATGTTGCGCGTGAGAGTTTTCTGGTGAAGCCGGCCTCTACTGCCGAGAGTAGTGACCCCTCGAGAGAATGGGCCCATTCCTGCATGTTGAACATCTTTATGCATGCCCAGAGATCTGAAGTGTTGACTTGCCTTCTGGATTCGGATTTTGAACCCCCCCCAAGTGACTCCCTTTTCGCCTCCCGCCTTCCCCACAAAGATGTGTCTCAAGTGAATGTTGCGCGTGAGAGTTTTCTGGTGAAGCCGGCCTCTACTGCCGAGAGTAGTGACCCCTCGAGAGAATGGGCCCATTCCTGCATGTTGAACATCTTTATGCATGCCCAGAGATCTGAAGTGTTGACTTGCCTTCTGGATTCGGATTTTGAACCCCCCCGCGTGACGGATGTTTCGGCAGAATCCTCTGCCAGGATGATAGATGTTTGGGAGGGTGCTGAGTGTGATCGTGCTTTGGCTGTGTTGGGTCCGGGTAAGACGCCTTTCCATGTCGGCAATGCAACAAAGGTTATGGATATTAACACGTTCCACAACCGTGCCGGCCACTTGTCCGAACCAATCTTGAGGTTATCCGCAAAACAACACGGAATCACCCTCACGGGCACAATGGACAGCTGCCGGTGGTGCTTGCCGGCGCGGGGGACGAGGGCACCGGTGCCGAAGCAGGGGGGCGGATACCGCGGCAAGAGGGCGCCGAACGACATGTTCCACATCGACATGTGCGGCGGGTACACGGCGACCATCGGCGGCAACCACTACATGCTCTTCGGTGTGGACGCCGCCACGGGCTGGATCGTCTGCTATGCCATGCGGCGGAAGTCGGAGGCGTTGGCGGTCTTCAAGCGCATGGTCGTGGACGCCGCCCACAAGGCTGGCACCGCGATCAAGTGCGTCCGGGGCGAC